AAAGGAAGCTAAAACTGGTATAAGAATAAAACATTTAAGAGGAGCATTTATTAGACTGTATCTGCCTAAGATGTTATGTTTAACTTAATCCATATGAAGCAAAGTTATATGCCATCATATACTATGTAGATGACAAAAAGATTAATGGAAGAAGATTACTAAACATTCTTAGTAGCCTTTAAAAATCTTACAGACGAGGTGGTTTATCATGAGTTTGCATAATGCACAGTCAAATGGAGAAGTGCTATTTTTGCTGCCACTAGGTTAGACTCAGACTGTCATATTCAGTCTGCTTCTCATTGCTCCTGATGCTCTGGAAATTCACATTTCTGGATCCATACTTAATGTAGATAATACCAGGGCTAACGACTAAATCACTATGCCTCAAAACAGAGAAGAGATCTAGAAACACAGTGGAGAACTAATAAATTATTTAATTTACATATAAAGACATCTATCTTGTCAGTCGAGAATCTGAGGCCATGGGCCTCATTCTTAACTATGCAGCCTTACACTACACATTGGATAAATCAATTGTAGTGTGAGCTCCTCATAAGTAAACTGAGGGCAATACCACTTTTCCTATTTCATACAAAACTGAATCCTTATTTATGTCTCCTTTGGAAAGGAAATACTAAGTAACTATTTTTATTGTTAGAAATAGAAAAAATCCAGAAAAAAAAGAAAATCCAAAGGGGTAGAGTATGGGTGCTTTGTGGCAGCAAAGCTAGTCAAAAGCTAATCTTCAAATTGGAAAAAAACAAAAAAAAAATACTGTCCTGGCCAGGATGTTATACCTTTAGGTCACTATTTAATTTCTCTTCTAATTCTTACGTTATTCTACTTTTCATGTTTTATTTGTTATAATTTCAAAATCTTGTCTTTAGTCATTCGTAGTATAGAAATCTTAGGTAAAGCTTATGTCAGGTACTAAAAAATCTGCTGTATCAGGGTTAATAGAAATGTATAGATACCAGGGGAAAGTAATAAGCTAATGAACATGACAGGCATCTATTGCTGATGGCATTAACAGTGATATGCAAAAAAAGTAAGTTTGCAAGGTCCTGTACTGATTTCTATTTTATGGCGATTATCTATTATTCTACTTAATGTGCAAAGTAATAAAAATCTGCCATTCAAATAAAACTAAATTTTCCTATGTAGAGCATAGGGCATCACACAGAACTCACCTTTCCTCTTTCCTCCTCCTTTTGTTCTTATAAGCAGCTAAAAAAATTTAATATATTTTTATTTTCCTGAAAAGCCAATAACCAGGCTTAAGGTTCATCACTTATGGTAAAAAAAGAGGCATGAATACTTTAAAATATATTTATGTTTTTATTTAGCTTTCATTAGGACTTACCTTGGAAACACGAGTTATGATATCAACTTTCCGGTGGACTGATGTTACCCCTTCAGAGAAAACTGACTGGAAGATAATACACTGAGCTCGTTCTGTGAAGTTGGGGATCTGAGACAGCTCATATAAAAATCTGTGGAAAAAAAGAGTGTTAATGAATCTTTGTATTTCTTATCTGTGGGGTACATAATAGATCAAAGCTGTAGTATCATGAAATATACATGCAGTCTTTCCTAATTTGAATCAAATCTTACAGAATTTATAATTGTTATATTCTTTATGCTCAATGTGTTAAGAAGTTCTATTACTATCAAGAAAAAGGCAACTTACTATCACATCTGCATAGTAATAAATAGAAGAATCATAAGCCTAGATCATAGGTTAAAAAAAAAAAAAGAAAAAGGAAAGAGCTAGAGAAACACTACTTACTGTTTTCACTCATGTGTTTTTGCTTCCCTTAAAAATATGCCCAGCAATACGGAACTCAATATATTCCTACAAGGTTACTTCATAATATGAAACATCTGCCAAGAAATTTCTTCTGATGCTCAGCCTCAATTTTCTTTTACTAATTTGCACCCCAGGTCCAATTATATAACAGTGTGTTTTATGGTAATCCACCTAGCCATGTATTTAGCTCTAAAATACTTGCAGATTATCTCTCTCTTCGGTCCCTGATCAGCAAAGTTACTAACTCTTTATCTGCTCTTTATCTGTCTTCATATACACACTTTCCTCATGAGTCTATTCCAGCTTTCTTCCTTTAACTCTTTGGTAAATAAAAATAAATAGAAGCATATTCAACAACTCCAGTTCAGATATCGCAAAATGAAAGCATCCCAAAGGCATGAGTAATTCCTCCCTTTTCTCTTCGTCAATTTAAAATGTAAAAGCTTGGCTAAATAATAAAAGAAGCTTTAGCGTTTCTTATAATAATAGGGTTTGCATAATTTGCTTTGTGACTTTTGAGTCTAGGATTTCAGTGATACACATGCTTTCTTGAAATCCAGAAACAAGCTGTCTTTTGCTCCAATATCACTTCAGAAACATTCTTCTAATCTGTCTACAGATATCCTTAGATCCCCCTTAACGCAATGCCGTAAAGATTTTTTACCTCACTGAATTATGGGAAATTCTATGAGCCATTATTAGCTTGAATTCTTATTAAATTTATTTTAATTATTTAAGCCAATACATCTGATTTCTCCAAATTATTTCTTTTTCATAATAAATAATATCAGTATCTTCAAATCCACTTTATAAATTTCTCATGCACGCAATGCTTTGCTGAATATGTAGTGACTGTCAAAAAAATCAGCAAAATCCACATGTGGCTGGTGTGATATACTATGTTTTAACTGGAATATAATTTTTTTTCCTTCTTTTTCTTTCTTGCCTGATGAAAAAATCTACTGTGAGAGAAGGATTGGGGAGGCCTGGCTTGGCTCTTACACTTAAGCAGTGGGAAAAAAAGAAATGCCAAGCTGGTATTAATAAAAATGCTTCCTATTGGGAATGAATGGTATTGCCAGGAAAAAAAGAGGATACTTTGCACTTTGTGTGAGAGAAACAAAAGAAAGAAAAACCCAAACTGCTTCACTAAAGTTCTAACATACATGCATTTTAAAAGTTTAAATTTAAAAAGTCAAATGACACATATTCTTGCCTTCCCTTGAAAAGGGAACTATCTTCTACACTGCTGGTCATTGGAATACAACGTAATTGTGCCGAAAGTTAAAAGAGCATCAGAATAAAAAGAAAATGTCTCCAGATTGTGGAATTCAAAGTATTCAATGTAAATATCCAGACAGAACACTTACAACTGAAATCTGTCACAAAAAGGAATCTCAGTGACTACAAATGTAGTTACTAAACACAAAGTCAAGGCATGAACCTGCGGTTATCAAAGATAAACCACCAATTCAGGTGGACAAAACTTTTGGAGAGAAAAGAATATTCTTAGTTCAGTCATTTTTGTAATTTTAGTCTGAGAAAAGTATGATTTTGACTTAAAGTAACGATGATATGACTGTGACATAGCTTTTTGATGGGTTTCTCACTGCTACGCTTCTTATGGCCTAAAGTAAACATAGAGAATTTGCTGTTCATCTCTGTGAGGTCCATTTAACTCCTCTCCTGCAGAAACTGTAAATAAAAAATGCATTTACTTGAGAACCCTTATCCTACCAGAATCTTGTAGTAAAGGACTTAAGAGTACTTTCAAGCCAGGCATATTACCATGTTGTTAGTGTAACAGAACTTTCTTCCAGAAGATAGACAAAGAAGGCTGATTCTACAGAGTTAAACTATTTATCAGTTCACATTTATCCGCATTTGAAGAATATAAAATTTAGAAATAAATTTTTTGGGAAAAAGTGTATCTAATTCTGCAAGCTTCTAATTAAACCAGCAGGATTTAAACTGAAGTCAAAGGAAAGTTGTCTTCAAAGAGAAGCAAATGGCATTACTTGGACAGCAATTATCAATAGTTCACTACTTCCTCAATTCAAACTGCACACAAAACAGGAAAGCTCAGTACCATATTTTGCTACTATTTCCTTCATTAGTATTTCTTTCACAGTAGAGAGGACTTCACAGAGATTATATTACAACTGAAAGGGTCTTCTTGGAAACTAGCTAAAGCATCTGTATCCTGCTAGCAAAGCTGCCAATTGTGGCCAATTGTGCATATAAATCTTTATCATGTTAATGAATATTAGCATTTTAACAACCCTTATCATGAAGCACAATTTAGGGGGGTATTGTCATGTTGCTGTGATACTTACAGTTTGTGCCAACAATAGCAAATTTAACAAGCCAGCAAAACAAATCAAAATCACATGTGCAGGAGAGCATCAGTGATACCACTAAAGCTTTCTATTTGCCTGGTAATCCAAGCATTTAAAAATGGCAAAGGTTTCCTTTAGACTTCAGTGAATTCACATCAATGGTTTCATTATATAAATGCCTATTGCTAGTATTTGCAACCATTTGATAAATGGTTTAGTTTGCACTTTTGTTCTGACCCTCATTAAAGAAAATACATGAGGCTTACGCCCTGTAGCAAATATTTTTAATCACACATACAAATTTAGCACTTTTCTGTCTTTAACCTTTTATGGAGTTAATATGCATAGTACAGTTCCAACAAATCTCCAGTTCTGCATTTAGATTGACTTAGAGGCTGACTTAGACAACAAAACCAGCAGCACCTGATCTATTGAGTTTTCAGAAAGGACATTATTTTGAAGGTTCAATAAAATTCACGTAAGTGCATCATCAGCAAATTGTTTCCCTCTTGAGGCAACATTTTAAAAAGCTAGTTTTCTTAACCTATGTAGTTTAATAATAGGGTAAAAATGGGATAATTACGACTTGCAGAGAGAACACAAAGAGTAATAATTGATAAAAAGTAGCTTTTGTCTTTGACACTACTATTTCACTCTGAACGATCAGGCATAGCTGCTTTATTTACAGTTCTTTACTTTTAATTATGGAACAATGACAGCATAAATCCAGCTTTGTGTTTAATTAAGATCAACCTCTCTCCACTATAATTTACAAAAACAGACAACCTTTTATAACTCTAGAGCTCTACAAGATTCGTATTCTCCAGAACATAAAATGCATTAATATTTCTTTCACTCAGACATACAGCAAACAGATTGCCAAAGGGTCAAGCTCTGGAAAGCATCAGCTACTCACACAATGTATTCTTATGCCCCAAGCCAATGCAATGAAAGCCATGGCTATGGGATGCAAGAACAAGCTAGTATATACACTTCACAGATATTTGTCTTCTTAAGTCTTACTCAAGAATAATAGCCACTCTTAATCAAGAGTAAGCATGATAGCCTCATCTCCCAACATTAACCTATTCCCTAGTGGACCGTCACAAATGAGTATTTAGCTGCCTTGTGTTAGGAGAAAGAGAAAAAAAAATCTGCTCTTCACCACCAACATTTTAATGGGGAAAAAAGGTATGAAAATGTAATACTTCTGACATCAACCAATCATATACTATCTCTGCTGTTTCAGTTCTTCCTCCCCCTACCCTTTCTTACAGCAAAGACAGCAGAAAAGATAAAAACAGACAAGAGGCAAAAAGCAAGATGGCAGAGAGGCCTCAGGGCAGGAAATCAGACTGTGATTAGAAGAGGATGGAAGTACAAAGGGAAAAGTAGCAAACTAGCAGAAGACAAACACCGCCGGTAGGCCAAGATCTGAAATCAAATGTACACACTAAAATAAAACTCAGGATTACCATTCTGCTCACAGATTCTTGTGATTTTCACATTGGTCTAAGGTTTATTACAACAGAAGGAGCAACACTTCAGAAGTTTTTCATCCTAACAGTTGCCACTGCCCACAACAGTCACAGGAGATGAACTGCGGAATCAGCCTTGTATGTCTTCAATTGGCATGGCCGGAGTGCACATTGTGTCTTTCTCACAGGACTCACCAAAGCTCGCTGCTTGTGTAGTTCTTTCAAATAATCAACAACCAAAATCAGTCTGGCTGTGCTTTATGACACATTAATTTAGCCCTGAAAGCCCTAAGGGAAGGATAAGCCTTTTAAAAATGTGAAAATGGGAACAGAAATTTTTATTGGTTCAAGGCTACATATTTTATCAGTTCTGGTGGTCCAAGTTGACGTAATAAAATCTGTCATGTCTGAAAAAAGTTATGTGATAAAGGCAAAGTTTACATCACACCTTGAAATACACAAAAAAGTTAAAAATTAGCTACCAAAAATTATGTCTCAAGATCCCTTTTAACATATCAGCAAAGGATTATACTATATAATAGTAAAATATTAAAAAAAAAAAAATCTTACTGTTCTGGTTTATCCAGAAGCTTCAGTTCTTCCTCTTTTGAAGTCTGATAATATTGCTGGATTTTCTCCAGTTCATCCTTTTGTGCTCTCTGAGTGAATTAATATAAAGTGATTAATACCTAAATAGTAACAAATTAATAAATTACTAATTTACCTGTTTGTCTGCAAGTAACAATTGTATTTTTCATTGGGAAACATTTAGACTATGCAAAAGAGTGAGGCATAAAGATCCATGATAAATTCCTTCAGTGCCTTGCAGTGCCATTTACTACCTATTGCCACAAAGCAGAGCATCCTTGTAGAGCACTGCACTGCAAATATTGCTATAGGATGCTTCACACAGTTTAGGTGGGAGAAGTAGCTCTGATATCTCTACCGCCAAGTGTAAATGTATTCTTTCATGCAACTTCAGAGTCACAGAGTTCATGAATGCTATATACGTAGTCTACAGAGCAACCCGGGTAAGGACAGCAATGCACTAGCCTGAGTTAACTGTTTTAGCCACTTACATCTTGAATGAGAAAAATTCAGCATGTTAGCACAAAATAAGCCTTAAGTAAGGACAATATTTTTCAGGCAGTTCAGGAGAGAACACTGCTAGATGTTATGCCTTTTGTTACATTTTAACCTGATTCCAAAGGCACTCCACTGTTCTAAATTTCTGACATTTAAGAACTAAGCCAGTAAGAACATGTCAATGGGTAGTTTTTTATGTTACATATTTTATTACTGTTAAATTCCCTAAAGACTTTTTAAATATAATGTCTCTAGTCTAAAATGACAACATTAAATAACACTTTACTTATTCTGTGTCTGAAATACTATGGTGATTAACCACAGCTTTACCCCAGCTTACTTACATTTTCATATAGTGCTTCCAGTGTTTCCAGATCTACTACGGAGTCATCAACACACAGTATAGCTGTATAGAATACAATCACAAATTAGATGCTAGAAAACATACTTAAGAGTTAATTCTGTTTTCTGAGAAATGTACTAAAAAGATCTCACCTAGCTAAAGGACATATTTGTATCCAGTTAGTATGTTATTATTTTCAGCATTTTATTTTTGTTCTGACTTCAAGTCACAGTGCTCACGCAAGAACTTACTATAAACTCTGTCTTAGACGAATGGAGTTCTACTTTTCCTCTGCAGTATACTCAGCAGTCAAAGATATGACCTGCCAGGTACTCAGCTCACTGCGTAGCTGGCCAGGCAGCAGAACATGAGAACAATTGATACCAGACAATGAACAGCACAGATTTCATGGTAGCTTAGAAGGCTGGATAGGAAGAAATTGAGAGTTAGTCTATTTAGGTCTCCCTGTGTGCATGGGAGAGCAGGGACATGTGAAAACAGGGAGATCTGCTTGTCTTGGGGCTAGCAATCTTGGGAAGTAGACAGGTAGACAAACTTGCAAGATTTGCAAGTTGCAAATATGCAAGCACAAAAGATTGTGCTACAGATTTTTAAGGTATCTTCATAGAGCAGTTCACATTTGAGTTAGCTTTATCCACTAGGAAACTACCCACATGACAATTTCCAGATAAATACTTTTAAGCACCACACAGAGACACCTAAAGTATACTCTTCAATGATTAATTATGCCTCATTACCGAAAATGAAAAGTCCCAAAAATGTTTCCTGACTTAGTTCCAAATGTTACTACATTTGGAATATGTGGTATTAGGTGTTTCCAACATTTGCAAATTACAATTTAGGCAGTGTATCGGGACTCTTCTGAAAACTAAATAGGATTGGTTCACGGTGCTTTCTAATGCTCTCTAATGTTAGATTCCAGGAAGCTAAGAGATGCACAATGGAATAGAAATAACTTTGGATGTTTAATTCTTCTGAAAACAGCATTTCATCACAATTCATAATGGGACTGGGCACAATTTCTGAACTCCTGACTTATGTTTAAATATTACTGGGAACATTAATCCTAAAAGAATCAAGCTTAAGGTCTCTACCAATTTTCCACATAACCAGTGACTCATCATTAGCTAGTACCTGAAAACTTTTAATTTCAACTGTGCTATATTTCTTCAAAGGAAACTTGACTGCTTGTGAATTTAAAAGATTTTAAAAGCTCTTGTTGCATTTGCAATCCATGTTTGAAAGGGGCAAGGCACACATCTTTAAATAATTATTTAAAAGTAATAAGCTTTCGCCTGCTCTTCCACTACCCCATGATTTTACATTGTGAAATTAACCAGCAGGCTAGTAAATTTTCTCTGTGGCAGGCTAATTAATTTTATTAAAAGGTCCAATGACATTTAGAATGCTTTAAAATTTTGCCTGTCAATTATGATTCCATCTGTTGACATTACACCTTGGTTAGAAGTTAAGAATTATACAGAAGACAGTATCAGTGAAAAAAAGCAGCATCTCCAACTATTTTTGTCCTATTGGAAAGATTCAAAAAAAGCTCAAGAGTGTAACTAAATATAAAGCCCAAACAACTGAGCTTGACAAAAATTTTTCTTTAAAGAAAAATCATTAGGGATCAAATCTATGAGATCATCTGTTGGCTCTTGCAAGACGGTTCCATGAGTTGCATTATCTTCTGTGTTATCCAATGAAACTTCAAAAGAACCAAAGAGATTGGAAAATTTATTGGAAAATTGGTTTCACAGTCCAAAATTGTTAAGATTTTAAAATATGCATATTGAGTTCAAAAATTTCCCCTTGTGGTTTCACTTTCATCCTATTTTGGAATATTCCAAAATCTGCTTACAAGGAGATACTTATTTGTTCAGAGTTATCTAGAAAAGCAACTTACTGGAGGTAATTTGAACTTGTACCAGAAATGCAAAACATGTAACTAATAGTAGATTTTTTTAGGTACAGAGCTAGTACAATGAGAGGAAGTAGATTGAAAAAAAGAACACTTTAATAAGAATATCAAGATTTGTACATCTCACTTGAATTTTCAGTCAGAGATTTGTCACAAAAAAGGCCCCAAAATCATAAAGTGGTTTTTAATGCTGTATTTTCTTATCTGTGTTTCTGTACTCAACACCAGTTCTAACAAATCAGCATTGTTTTGAAGTGACATGATAAAGCAAAAAATGTTTGAGATTAAACTAATGAAATACAATCTGATAAATGAACACATTTTTAACAGAATTAATAATAATCAGTATTAAGAGACATTCATATGAATTATTTTCTCTTTTAGACAAGTATGTGATTGTATAAAAGTACCAAGAAAATATTTTCTGATTTACTTGCTATGCAACCTGTCCTGCTGTTGTTGGCAATGACCATGCAGACAGGCTGCAGTTAAAAATCTAGCCATATTACTCAATTCAATGATAGCTGGACATCTTAGGATGTTAATGTATGTAGACATACTCCCAAAAAGTCAGAATTACTGCCAAAATCCACACAGACTCCTTTATTTCATCTTTATGTATTTTAATATTTTTATCTTTGTCCTTATATCTTTTTTCATTCAAGCTGATCAAACTTAATACCATACACACTTGGAGTAGAAGTGACATGAAAACATGTAAAATTATGAAGATTGGCCCATTTTTTTAAAGAGAAGCATTGATTTTGAAAAGCTGGAAGAAATCCCCAAATTCACAGGTGTCTTAGTATTCTTCATATTCTTAAAATACAGCATGTGCTATACATTCACAGTATGTTGTGTAAATTAATTTGAACTGGGGTAGCTGAAAAAAAATTACACTACATCTAAAAAACTAATTATTTTACTTTTTACTTAGAGTCACAAGGAACAAAAGCTTCTTAATTTTTCTGTGAAAAACAAAACCCAGTTTTAATCATATGTATATTAACATAATTAAAATGAATAAAAACCTTGATAAGTTTTTCAAAATGTTCTTCCTGATACAGTGAATTTAACCATGATACTATACTGCATTAAATCTCATTATATCAAGACTCTCATAAGTGTAAGTAATATAGGTGAAGTATCATAAATCTACAAAAGAGGCTCCAAAACAATTAATAGCTATTACAATATCAATCATCACCGGTGGTTTTTACTTTTATCTTGCTTTGTAGTTAGCTGTCTTCCTTACACTGTCAGTTCAGTTAGAATATTTCACCTACACCTCACAATATGTCGAAAGGAAGTAGACTCATGCTGTGAAAAGCTGGTAATTTTATTGGGTTCCTCTACCTTTAAAAAATCTGTTACTTGGCCAAGTCTGGTTTCTGAGATCCTTTTTTGCAGGGAAATTGAGGCAAACATTTTTATGTGGCCTATGGTGTCTGCTCACAACAAGAAGAATTTATATACACAAGGATCATTAGTGCAGGGTTGCACCCATTAGGATATAATAACCGTCAGCTAGGACAAAAAACAGATCAGCATCATGCATTCAAACTAACAGGCACACATAAAAATACTTGCCAACTACATTTCACATACTAAGAGTATTGCTTCGAATATAAACTTGTACCAAAGGTTTTTAACAGACTCACTTTTTAAAAATGAATCTAACTGTAAAAGACAGATTCCCTACCACACAGATTTTTCACATACTCTGTTTTATCACTTTAAAAATGTAAACCAAAGAAAAGCTGAGAATTTAAAGCATACTGTGTGCAGTCTACATACAACCATAGAACCTAGAGTTTAAGTATGGAAAAGATACTTCTCTTAACCAGCTTAAATACCAACAGTCCTAAGGCTGACTCTGATATACAGCCTCACTCCTACTAAACACATTTTGGTTAAACCAGAATTTAAGTCCTGCTGACAGAGCTTACATATATTCAGCAGTATCAAACCACTTAATGTGGCAATTAAACTATGAAATATGAAGAAATCGCCTTAACTGCTCCCTAATGATAAAACAGAAATATGTGATTTAAATAAAAAGAGCTTACATTTATTTGACCTGGAAGCACTTCATTGTTTTATATAGTACATTCTGCTGAGTAAGGCTTGATTTCATGGGAACATGAAACCCATCACTGGGAAATTTAAATTAAAATGTGACTGATCTAGTCAATTAGAAAATGACGATTGTCAAATACAAATCCCTACTTGGCAAAACTGCCTAAAATATCCAAATCGCTCTGGTTTACTTCTGACAAATTGGTATGTTCTAAACTTATTTAAAGGTTTTCTCCAGTATTTAATTATCATGTAACAAAAAAACCCACTAAAATATACATTACAAAGAAGCACCATGGGCACGATGTAGGTTTAGAAGACTAAGAAAGCTCAAATCTTGCAAGAAGTCATGAACAAAAGACTCTGGCACTAATGTTAACCGACCCATATCAGGCTGGATGCCCAAGGCAGATTCACAAAAATGTATCTATGTTGTGAATTTTCCAGAACAAAGAAAATAACTTTTAAAGAAAATTGTTTCCCAACTTCTGAGATGGGAATGCAGCTATCTCTATACTTTATGCATAGTGTACAATATATATAGAATGCATACATGTAATATCCTGTGTAGGTGGAAAAGTCACACACCTTCGAAACAACAGTTTTTAAACCTTTATAATCTACACTTCCATCCTGCAAAATATTTCAGCTGAAAACCCAATAAAACTCTTTTCACATAGTGCAAGTAAGAAATATTCCAAAGCATTTATCTTTATCCAGAAGTATTTCCAAAATATAATAGAGAAAGGAACTGTGAAGCTATTTGTGCTGCATGGTATGGTTAAAACACATTGGGATTCAGAAATTCTGAGCACACTAAGGTCTACAGATTAGAATTGCTTTGGAATAGTTTGCCTTATACATATAAAACATAGTCTTTCAGATGCTAAGAAAATTGCCTGGTTAACAATGATACTGTTCTCTAAAGTTCAGATGTGCCATAAACCATAAATTGCACTAAGACAATGCAACCTATTTATATAACTTCTATGGCCTCTCATTAGAGGAAGACCACACAGAAATCCCAGGATTATTAGAAACATAATATAGAATTAGAATTATTATTGAACTGAAAATTAGTCTGAGTGAGTTCATCTGCTGTTCACATTCTAATTATTTACTCCAATATGGTGACAATGGAGGGTAAATCACAGTTGGAGAAGACCAATCAAACAGTTTTCAACTGGTTGACTGGCATTGTACAATAGTATCATAACTGTGCTCTTTCTAGAAAGTTGGTTCCCTCCTACAATGCCATGCAAAAAAAATTGATGCAGAGTGGCATGATAGTTATTTGCATTGCTCACCATCAGAATATCATTACTGTGGCACCATAATAAAAATATATTCCACATTTGAGGAGCAACCAAAAAAAACCCAATAATGAAGGTGAATCTAAAAAAGCAGATGGCATGACCTAGGCTTTTTAAACAAAATCTATTCTAATCCATCCCATCTAAGTGCGATCAAATAAATTTCTCCAGTATTTTCAAAGCTTAATGTGCCTCTGCATTTACATTGTTGGTGAACACAAGAATGTTCCAAATGCACAATAAACATACCAGGTTCCCATACGTGCTATTAGAGGTTGGCCAGTGCTACTATGATTTAATAAATGGAGTCTCAGACATTATATCTAATTGCTTAAAATGTAGGAAAGAAAAAAAATACTAAATTAGCATTAGAAATAGTCTCAATGCCAAGGATCAGTGTTAAATTCTCCTCTGCCATATAGGCTAAGTTCTGTCAGCATTGCAGTGCTACAGTGTTAAACTCTTGCCTTGGTAAATGTACTAGCAAAGCATGCAGATGTTCTGCATGGAGTAATATGGCACTTTATTGGCCACAAAGAGTGCAATAAGCTATAAAGTGTGCATCTGGTGTGATCTACCACATCTTACAGATTTGGTCCCAAGGAAAATATACCAGCATGTGAGACCATCTAGTTAATGCACCCTGATGGAAATCAGGGGTATCAGTGAACTATTTCCAGCAATGTACAGAAGCAGAACTTCTGGTGCCCCGCAATTTTAGTGGCAAAATGCAGGTACTACAGAGGTAGGGAGGGATTTGGGAGAATCACTCTCTTGGACATAGGCATCTACATTTTATCTACATCCCATTTTCTGTAACTAAAACTTTTTTTCTTCTGGGCTGCCCCGCAATTTTGCCAGTTTACTCTTGCACGAAGATCTCAGTAGCTCATGGGAAGCTGGCACAGATGATGTACGCTGCAGAAAAGAGTATTATAATCTATTTTCCAGTATACTGCTATTGCTAGCTACTATACTGGGAACTGCCTGAGTGACTGCAATGTGGCCCTCTAAAAAGTTGGGATCAGTACCCACAGAGGGTCTTTGCATTTCCCATTAGAAACAGTCCTGAAACACCTCACTGTGGAGTAAATTGTAATATTTCAACAGCAAAGCCAAACAAGTAGTCTTGAGCCACAAGTTAGTCTCTTGAGCTGTAATACTTCAGCTGAACAATGATAGGAAAAGTAAGACAGAAGTGCATTGATACAAAATGGAGAGTACTTCTCTAAGTGTGGAATGTTAAAGCATGTTCCTTACCTAACAGCTGTTCTCCACTATTCCTCATCTCTTCTTTATAAAGGTTTTTAAAAAAGGCAGCCTTGAAAATAATCTCAAACCTATGCACAATTTGATTATTGTTATTTGATTTTTAAATATAAATACAGATCCTATATAGCTTACTGAGACAGACAGATTTTCTATCTGCTTCTTCTGCTCAGAAAATGAATATCATTAATAGCAGTCTAATCAGAAACTATATTACCCTCTTCAGTACCAGATTCACCAATAAAATTTGTTAGTGTTCTCAGAATATTACAGCACCTAGGATTTCTCCTCCTCTCCCACCTACCAAAAAGCTGAATATTAGGACAGGTGCAGCATGACAATGTTAACTTTCCCTCTGCATCACATAATACCAACACTAGCCAAAATAATTATTCAGTTTTACATTGTCTTCTCCCTAGACTGTACTCAACTACAGAAAGAATTTAAACTTATCTGCAAAGGATGAACTTCACTCTCTCAAACATATGTGGGAGATTCCCTTCCTGAAGCGTGGCAGCTGGCTCATTATCAAATGCAAACTGAAACATCTGGGTGCCAGATATGGTCACTTGCTTGTTTTGCACTGCTGAGCTACCTACAGAATATGCTGTGAAGCTATCTACTTTAATTTGAGAGGGTAATCCTATAGATGCAGAAATCTCACACTATTTTAAAGAAGGATGTAATTTTTCTTGTGATTACTCTTGTTTTGTCTTCTCTACAATTTTGCATGCATCTGTATGCATGGGGCAGTTCACTTGAAGACAGTTTTTCTGTATCTGTATTTCTGTAACTGCTACTTAAGGTAGAGTAACCGGTACACTATACATAGACAGTAAATTCATTTCTACATGGCTTTTCAACAAACATAGTCAGAAAAACCTGAAATAAAATTAGATATCTTTTTATTTTTCATTTTGACTTTCTTTTGCTTCACGTTTCTTCATTCTTTGTTGCCAGCTGCCAAAGACCATTAACTTTTCTCTTCCCTGTCTTTCACATACTGAATTATGCAATGGAAACTGGCTTGAAAAAAAGGGAAGAGTGCTTAATTTTCATGTTTCTTAGAGGTAGCTCTTTGTAACTTCACTTCGTAAAAAAAAAAACCAACCAACTTTGACGTTCATCACCCAATGATCATACACTTTTTTGGTTAGGTGGTGTGAGCTATTTAGCTTGTTATGATCTTTTTTTCTTCCAGTGCATTGACTATAGCAGTCTTCAAAGAATTTGTCTGCTGATAGGCAGGACTGTGCACAGACTTAAATTGAACAAAATACTAGGGGATAAACACACACTAAAAGAGAAACAAGCATAATTCTACTGTTGTCTTCATTGTAGTATGCATTTCTAAAGATCCTCTCTACAGAACAGATGTTTTCCCTGAGTCTGCTGAACTGTTTTTTTTCCCTAGATGGTCTCTGCACACAGATCTGGATTAGTCACTCATCCTGCTTTGTAATATATTTTTAAAAAAAAGTTCCACTAACAGTATTCCCAAATCCCGTTTGTATCTCCTAGCTGTTTCCATAAGCAAGAAGCAGCATATCCCTTTGCCGCCTTGAGCAACACATGTGGTGACAGGCCAGCCATTTGCTACCTCAGAATAGAGAGGCTGATGAGTTATAAACTTTCCTTCAGTGACAGCGCTTGTCTTGCTGTCTCTTTTCTACCAAGACTCTAATTTTCATTAAACTTGTAGGACTACATTAGCTATGTCTACAACTGCAAGTAGTGTAGTCTTTAGAAATGGATTTGTAGACAGCAACAGCTTGTACTGAGGATCCAGTGTTCACACTATACACGTCAGGGAGTTTTAACTATCTCTCATCTGATCCGGTGGAAATTAAAGCCTGCTACAGGTGGAGACTGCTGGTGTGCTCCTAGAGCACATCTTCTCGTTTAATTTAATACTGAAGGATATTTGTGCACTCTAAGACTGTTCTGCATTGCTCTGCAATGCTAACACAGCAAAGGGGACAACTCGTAGATTTGATTCAAAAGTGTACTGCTGATTCAAGCTAAAATGCTAGTGTATCCGTACCTAAACATTTGACTTATTCTTTTCTTTTAAATTTCATATAAATTAGTGAGAAGGTTTCAAAAGCTATGGAAGTACAGCAAACGACTGATAGATAGATGGATAGAGAGATGTTGTATTTTAGTAGAACATCATGGCATGGAAAATAAAAAGACATGAAAATATCTCTGAAGATACTTAAGAATACTACCCAGTTTTTACAATACAGCTGCTATCCTATCCTATGTTGCTGTAATTCCTGCCAGCAAATTATTCAGACCTTTAGTAATAGCATTTTTTTTCCATCTCATTTGATACCTTTCACACAATACTGGCAGGCACAAAGTTATTCCTTCTTTTTGTTGTTTCCCTCCATCCCAAGAGACATCTGCAAGCCCTTGTGCTTTTAAAGTGCTAGATGCTCAAAGGCTTTTCTGAAATTAATAATAATCAATGCCAGCAGCATCTCAACACCCACCCCAGTATTTGCATGTGATGGAGGGAAAACAATAGCAAAAAGGAGACATCAACTTGAATTCTTCCAGCAGTTGTTTTAAATGGTGAATATTTTCCTTTTTTTAATGTGAAAAAGAAATAAACAATATCCTTAAACAATATCTTTTTAAATCCAGAACATAAGCAGAATTTGAATTACTCCAGTGTTCTGAAAAATCTGTATTTCTCTACAGCTGTATTGGCAAACTCAGACAATTTCTGCCAGTAATGGAATTTATACATGGAGTAGCCCTACGCTTTGAAAAAAGCCACCCAGTAATCATCTTTCTGATTGCTATGTGGTAGCTGCATCAGTTTGGGATGTGCTTTTTATAGTGCTAATGAAGCAAAATTTAAACATTCAACAAATACCAACTGCATGTTTGAAGCACAAAAGATTTATATATAAGCCCTCCATTTAATTTTTGTCAGTGGAAGACTTGCTTAAGAAAAAGGAGGGAACTGTAGGGGAGGAATATGAAACAGTTTTGAGAAAACACTGTACTGAAAGTGATATGTGAACCAAAATGGTACAGAAGGAGTTGTACCTAAATTCATTTCTGATTATTTAGGTGAAACTTTTACATATGCTGGAATATACTGGAAGAATGACTCTTCTGATATCTTAAAGAAGACTATATTCAAAGCAAATTCTGTAATGTAAGAAATTCTCTGAAGGGGGCTATGAGAAAATATCCATGACAATATGATACATTAACTTTAAGAAACGCTTACCTTGTTGAATATCCTTCATCTCCAGGTGCAAACTGGATATTAAAATTCCTACAGTTTGAGACCGTTTTCCATCCAACAATTTGATAATCTAGAAAGATGATGCAAAATGATCTGAGATCAAATGAACACTCTACAAAGGATTCATTCACATCAATGACAGAAGCTAATTTGTGAATTGAATTCAACATCTCTCCAAACATCAAACCTTTTACTAACTAAATGTGGCAGAAAGACCTTCATCTTATCTCTGTGCTCTGCACCTTAACACATGCCGGATAAATGTAAGCTTGAATTCTCACTAGGTCTAGTAAAGAACATCACCCCTTACTTGTAGGATGCTATTAAGAAGGAAAAAAAAACGCACATCAAATATTTATTCTGGAATATACTTTTTCCCCCTTCTCCTTAAGGTGATCAGGGCAGAACTATTTAAGACACTCTGAGTACATCACAAGTTCCTTAGTTTGTCTGCTAGTTTATATTTCAGTGTGAACACATTTAAGTCTATCTTTTTGACAAAGGATCAATTCCTGACCAAGGAGAACTGGAGAATTGTCTTCTCATGCCCTCTCAGCACTATTCCTGGAACACTAGGGGCTACTGAAAGGATTTCTTTCACTCTTGTCTGAATGTGCTTTTTCTACACCCTTGACACTTCACAAGGATTTGAGGATTTTGTTCACATTTTGGGTAACAGACACTTGTTAGTATAATATACTGACATTCAGATTGTAATCTTTTCAGATGTTGGGTGGGGAGAGGAGAAGAAAAAGGAAGGAGGGAAGCCTTGAGGAAGTTATTTTGACTGGTTGAAATTAGTGATACTGATGTGGATCAGCCCATAAATAATGAAAAGTAAACCATCAGAATTTTAGAAGTGTAGTTTAGATGTTAGAAATGTCAAAACCAAAATGTTTGGACTGTTGGTATTTGTGATTTTAGTTAATGTCATAAGGAAGATATGACAGCAGCACATCACAAAATGCAATACAGGCATAAGTTCTTAAAAAAAAAAAAGAAATATTCAGATCCAAGCAGTTGGCTTACTTCATAGTGTTTATGAACAAATACTATTAAAAATACTAACTCATATGTAAAATTAAAACTAATATGTAAGTTTTCCCTAAATTTATGTTCCTAGTATCTGAACAATATTTAATCTATATGTACCTAAATTTAATTTTAATAGTTGGTGGCACTAATATTTGGATATTTAATAATACTAAAACCTTTAAGTAATTGTTATCCCTCATCCCTGTAAAATTCTTATAGATGCTCAAATTACAGAGAGTTAACTGACAAAATTTATACTAACTCATACAAATATTTCTTACCTATGTTTTATGGGATTTAGGAATATTTAACTGTGCAACTACTTTGTCATTCACCTATATAAAAGTAGATTTGTATTTGAAAAATACAGGAAGAAGAGAAATGATAGCCACATTTTCACCTGAAAATGCAACATTAGTTCTTATTTATAGAGTACTGAAATTGGACAATACATGAACAAGTTGGAATACAGGTTGCCTTCAAGAAAGATCTAATACATATTTTATGTCCCTGTTGTGGGGACTCAACACTTAATGAACTTATGTTAAAGTAGATGTTGCATATTTTCTGCCAAAATTGGAAGTAAAATCTATCCTGAGAGTTTTTTTCAGCCTATATTTACAGCATATATGCTGGATATTAAGAAAGAAATACTATTTAAAGTGTTTTCTTCAAATCAGAAGGAATTCAGGCTCTTTATCTCCTGAGTACATAAGCAGACAAGATGATTTGGATACAAGTTATCATAAATGAACACTCTGTAAGGATCGCATCCTGTTGACTGTGATTTTTCAGAGCAAATGTAAGTAACTGCTCAGTTTATCATGGTCCTTTCTGAAGCTTTACATGAATTTGCTGAACTCCGCAGCACATTAACTTCTTACAGGGATAATTACAGGCTTGAGTAGTATGCAATTTGTATAGCATTCACCGACCTCCAAGTTGACCTTGTTCAGGGGCAAATTCATAGGTTGTCATAAACCCCATTAGACATGCCTAGTTTGAGGCAAAACCTTTCCGTAGTATAGCTGTTGTAGACAATATGACATTTGAAATCATTCTATTAAAGTATTTTTCAGTGCTAATATATTCTCCAGATATGATCAAACTCGCTCACATTGCTAAGCAAGACTTCCTCCTTAAAAGATTAGTGAAAAAAATTTTAAAGAAGACCCTGTATAATTTTAAAAGCTAAAACAGAGATTCATGTTTTAAAATGGCCAACTAACTGTATGTTCACATGCATTTTAGACAAATGTACACATGGTCACAATTATCAGGCATCAAACTAGACTCAGACTACCTGAAACAGCTTCAACCAACTGAAATCTGTAACTGAAGGCTAATATTTTATTCATTAGAGAGCAAAAATGGAGTAACAAGACAACAGAATAGCTTAAATTGGGCATAAAACTACTCTAAAACACAGTTGTAATGCTAAGTATTACATAGGACTTTTGTAATAGATTTTTAAAACCAATGTGTAACTTGAAAGATTTTGCAACAAAAATATATAATCAGTAGTAAAAAAGAGAACATATTTTCAGAGATACTCATTTTGCCCCAAATTATGTTTTTTCTGGGGAAGTCACTGACAGGGAATTAAATACGTGTGTGAGTTCCAAATGGAAAGGAGACCCAAAAAAATCAGCACTTTTCCAGGTCATAAAAACCATAAGGCAAATAAAATGAAAGTTTGTAAAGACTGCATTGAACTATTTAGTCTGTGCTTTTAAAAGACAAATCACTGATCACCTCTCAGCATATTGGGACTTGCTTGTAGCTGGCAGTGACAGGTAAGCAGCTAAAACCCAGCTGACGCCAGTTGATGCTGCTATGCCAGCTGGCAGGGTTTGCCAGCCGCCTGTCGCTCCTCCAGACTATGAATGTATTGTTGTAATGGATGCAGCATCTTCTGGCTCAGTGACAAAATTGTGACTGCTGGTGCTAATTCATTTAATTCACTGATCCATAACATTATGTGCTCTGTGTGGTGTTCGCCGACTATTTTTTAATGTTATTAAGTTACTTGATTTGCTGTACACAAGTGCCTTCTACATCTTTCAAATATTTATCATCTAATTTAAAAGTGGAGACATACTGAAGCTTGAATACATTCATAAATTATTCTGTCATTCCCATTAAAAGGTGTTTCTCTAATGTAGCCAGAAATGTATTTCATTAAATATTATATGACAGACCTCACTGTTTTGTCTAACTGTAATGTCTACATTTTGTCCAGGACACTTACTGGTGCTGAAATCTGAACAGATTCAGTTTACTTTAGTGATTAAAAGCTAAATCCTTCCTCCTGCTGGTGCATGGATTCTTTCCATAATATTTAAATTTATCGAGAGAAACCATAAGCTAAAAAGCTGTCCTGCATATCACCGTGTTTCCCTCCATTCCCACTCATTAACTTTTATGGTGAAGTCAACAGCCTGGACCCGTGAACAGTCTGCTGAAGCCCCGTTCAAACAGAAGAAGAATATCCTGCACAAGAGGCAAGTAAGTATGCCCCTCAAGCCATTCTACATAAACACCCCAAGAGTTACCAATGAAATTTCAGAAGCTTAAGACTAGACATTATCTCTTCTATTCCTACTCAAAGGAGAGCCAAGTTTAACTATTTTTTATTGAATACGGATGAACCATAGCTTTGTATTTTTAAATATTTTTAAAGTATTTTAGGAGACATGTAAGCCTATTTGCAATTGGATTAAAAAACCCCCACTATTTTTAGCCTTTTGCTAAAGGACAAGCAAATGGCAATTTCTCAGGATAAAACAGGAGGTAAGAAATGAGCTAGTAAGAAACTTATTTCAATATCTTTATTCCTATCAAAACTGTAAAAACAAGACAAAGCCACAAAATAGGTATTTACCCTTTGCAGATACTTTCCATATCCTACATGACTGCAGAGCTTTGTGGTAAACAAGAAAATGCCATATTCATTCTTCTCAGTGCAGTACAAAAAGTAAGAAG